AAATAGTAATTAAGGACCATGGTGGGCCAATTCCTCCACACCTTTTTTTTTCTCATACTGAACACATTGGCAAGTGTAAGCTTTTTCAATCACCAAATGTTCAACAATGAGAGGACTGCCTTGTCAACTCTCTTTCAAGATCAGGACCATCAGTTCAGATGAGTTCAGAAGATTTATGGCTCAAGCCTAGATACAAGAAACTGTCCTACTAAAATTCAAGTCTGGATGGGCGTCAGAAAACGGTCAATGGAATTCAAGGAGAGCTCGACCATTTGTGAGAACACAAGGACTTTAAGCTGATGACTTGCTTAACTCTGCCCTCAGCTCTGCCTGTTCTACTCCTACAAACAACAACTTATTTAGGGTGATTTTGGTGGTTCGGTAATGGGGAAGAGCCATGTCAAATCCAGACAGGTTAAACATCTCTGACAATGTTTTTTTTTAAAAAAAAGAACAGCTATTTTTTCAGAATGTGATGCCCTTGCACTTCTCAAGTAAATAATGGTTTGCTTAGCCTTATTGCTTTCCATTATTTACTTCTGCTGAATGTGGCAATTTCAAGAATTCTGAATAATCCTCCAGACTGATTGAATTAGAAGACAATAGAAACAAATGGATGGCTAACCCAGGTCCATTAAGGAAATGCCTGGTCATTTAGCAAATGCCAAATATTCCCAATGAGAGATGGTGACTGTGAGATAGCACTGACCTTATGTTTTCCAAAGCACCAGAAGGCGAAACAATGGCTTGAAACTAATCAAGGATAGAAGAAACCTAGAATTAAGGAGAAATATCCTAACAGTTAGAACAATGAATCAGTGGAACCTCCAGGTTGCCTCCAGGAGTTGTGAAGGCTCTAACATTGGAAGTTTTTAAGAAGAGGTTGGACAGCCATTTGTCTGAAATGGTAAAGGGTTTCCTACCTAAGCAGGGGGTTGGACTGGAAGACCTCCAAGGTCCCTTCTAACTCTGTTATTCTGATTTTCTAATCTACAATTTTCTCCCATACAATCGCTAATCAGACCAGAATTTATTAACCTTTCAATTCCAGGCAAGACTGGTCAGATACACCAAAATATATTTCAGATTAAGATGCATGGGTTTTTTTTTTCTTCATTTGTTGATTTCCAACCTGTAGATAGATAGATATTGTAGATAGATAGATAGATAGATAGATAGATAGATAGATAGATAGATAGATAGATAGATAGATA